ATGTTACAAAACGGATATTTTTAAAATAAATGCTACTTAACATTTGTGGGTATGGAGAACAGACCTAACCAACCAAACCTAACTTAACTTCCCGGTATATTAAACAGAAAGAACTTACTATGAAATGGTGAAATTTGAGGCATTTCTGGACGCGAGATCATACGGCCGCATCCGTGCTCTGCAGCCCTGGCGGGTTAGTCCTATATATTAACCGAAAGTTTTTCTACACACTAATATGATATTAAACACAAAAAATGGAAACGACAATGCCTAGAACCTGACCTAACATACTCATAGGTTGGGTATGTCTATTAGGTTCTATGCATTATCGTGTTAATTTATGTGTTGAACTTACCTTAATATTGAGGTTGATATACATCAGCAATGGCGAGGAGGAATTCGTGGAAACGTTCACCATAATTAATAGGAAACTTCTCTTGAAGAGGGATTCAGCGAGGTAAACAACAAAATTGGCGCCGGGAGGAGAATTGTCAAGTGGGATAGTGTAAAAGAAAAAAAAATTACTTAAAACCATAATAGAAGGTTGTCGTTTCTTTTAATATACTTAAAATTATCAAAACAACAAGTACAGCAAAAATAAAGAAAATCAACAAACAACTTCTGGTAGTAGCCGTTATTTTCTACACTTTCCCCCGAACTTGTAATACTCATTGAATATATTATAAGGTGGTGGTTGTCCAGCCACTGCCACCCATCATTACCTGATCAGGCTCAAGTTTCATAACTCGTTCGTTGTTTGGTGTATTTACAACTAAAGGCACAACTAGCTTTTTTGCGTGAATTTCTTGTATAAATTGTCCTAAATATGGTTATTTTTCTGAGGGCGCCGTCACACGTCCGCCAACTGTAAAGTTCCGTGGGCACTCCTAATGTAAACAAACATATCAGATGTATTTAGGAATGTTAACTTAAAAAAAATGCACACTTAAGAAAGTTATTGAAAATACGATACAGAATACCTTTTAAATTTAAATGTAGTTATTTTACGTGGCTCGATAATTTATTTTATATAACTATCCTCATTTTTTACACTGAATCTTGACTGAAAATTGGCGCAGCGTGATCCGCGATACGCTTCAGAAGAGATGACAACTCGTGAAGAAGTTTTTTCAATAGATGTCATTTTCTGTTTTTTTTGAACCCACAGAAAAAGAGCGAGTTGGCGCAAAAAGTACTAGTGACGTTACCTTGACTCTTCACATTAACGTCTTTATCACAAACGAGCGTAAATATGAAGGGTAACGCATTTTTCTGAGCATCTTACTACTACTACTAACATTATTCCATTGTAGATAAAATTAATGTTTGGTCTAACTCTTGCTGACACACACACACAGCTGAGAAGATACATTAAATAAGAACAACAATGACAAGTGTGTGAGGACAAAAGGTGCCGGATCAGTGACCACACCTCTACTCGCTACCGTCTGCCAGCAAATTGTGGATAATATTCTCGCTCTGGCTACACACATCATCCAGATATAATGAATATGGTAACAGCAAAACTCTATGGATTAATTGATGATTAGATACTCCAGTTTATTTCACCTGATGATTTGGTTATGTTAGATTAGGTTAGCGTTAAGGTGTTTAATCATCAGATGAAATAAGCCACCCCAGCTTATTTCATGTAATTCAAACATGTCAGTTACTAACCGCTCCCAGCCACGACACTCGTCAAAGTCACCTCCAATTCTCTTGTAATTCATTGCAGCTCCATATTGATTATATGAGACATTCCAGGCGAGTATCACATAACAAAGTGGCTTGAGATGTATTCATTACACTTGTTTCACACAAAAAATGACTCGACAATAAATGTTGTTTCTGTCGTTGTCTGTTTTCGTCACTATCTATTTCACGTCAGGATCACATCGTTTAAACACTATATAACACATCACACTTCCCGGAGCACCTCTGTGACCACACTACTCATGGGGCGGCCGTACACAACTCACCCACCTACCACCAGTAGTTGAACAGTGAGGGTAATAAGTTGTTACAGTTGTAGTACATAGTTGGGGAGTTTGAGAGGTCGTTCTCTCTTGACAACAATGAGCCTCTTCCACATTATAGCGTGTTTCAAGGTAAGGATAACCACCCTAACGCTAACATGACCAAACCTAACGCCACCCTAACCTAATCCCCAGGAGCTATAGGGTATTTAATAATCAAGTGAAATATGATAGGGGATGAATCTTCAGGTGATCCATAAGTTACCACCTGTGAAGTTGATTAATGAATAGCAAATAAGCTTCAAGACGCCTAATAATCCAAGACAAATACATAGTTTAAAATTTACACCTTGGTTGATCTACCGGGGGGATGGATATAAGTAAATATTAGGTTAACTTATACTTCCTGATCCTTTTATTTCTCTAACCAGATTTACACAACACTTAATTGACACACTTTCTTGACCAAGGAGATCTGCCGCACATCCTCAAACTTTTATGTGAATCACCTGGTAGGTTAGGTTACATAGCATTAAAGTAGGTTAATTTTAGCGGAGGGGGGGAGGGGCTGGTCAGACAAAAACATTATTATCCAATCAAAGTCGCCAGTAGAGGTTATTGGGTCCGCCGCGTTGATTCCTGAAGGTACACCGAGCGTTAGGGAGTATCAAGCATTTGTCAACCTCGCCCTGAATTCGAGGAAGAGACTACACGACCCAGGGAGACAGTGTAATAAACATAACTGAGAGATAGTGTCGTTTCAGTTATTAATGTGGCCGTTGGTTGCGTCATGGTGGTGCTGGAGGTAGTGGTGTTGGTGGAGGGAGGTAGTGGTGTTGGTGAAGGGAGGTAGTGGTGTTGGTGGAGGGAGATAGTGGTGTTGGTGGAGGTGGTAGGTAGTGGTGTTGGTGGAGGTGGGAGATAGTGGTGTTGGTGGGAGATAGGAGTGGTGTTGGTGGAGGTGGGAGATAGTGGTGTTGGTGGAGGTGGGAGATAGTGGTGGAGGTGGAGGAGGTAGTGGTATTGGTGTTAGTGGAGGTAGGACGGTTACCACCACCATGCCGCCGCTGTTGACACCCCCACAGCGGCTGAGGAAGATAAATAATATAAACAGACATTATTTACCACTCCGCAATATGTCACCGTCTATTAAACGATTTTTTAGTAAGATAACTTTCCACCATTGACAGTTTGCTCATTATCTTACAATATTACAGTAATTATTTCTGGGGAAACATTTAAATAATATATTACACGGCCAATTTCCTGTCCTAACATATTATGATCAGGCTGCAGTTAATGGCTCGTCCCGATTAAAAAAAAATCGTTACAATTATTCCTCGTAAATTGTGTTGTAATAATTAACTCAAGTAAAACAAATACAACGACTACAATCTTCTGACAAATATTCTCTTCGCTAATTTTATTTTTAAAGTGGTGTTAAGTGAAGGAATCTACAGCTTCTTCCTCCAGCTTATTTCATCTGATTATTTATTAAACACCCTAACATAGGTTAAGTTAAGTTAGAGTAGCTTAGATTAGTTAGGTATGAGGGTAAGGTAGGTTAGGATAGGGTTAAGTTAGGATCAGGAGTCGTAATTGTTCAGGTGATCCAATAAAAGTTAAGTGAAGAGTGAAAAATATATGTTTATGGAAGCCACGACACACACACACACACACAGTTACCACTAACCAGGATATACAGGAGTGTGACTGCCGTGTTGACTGTGTCTGAGCTGACGACTGTTGCTGACTGTGATGACATAACCAGCAGTGGTGGGCGGACCTTCCATCCCTGCTGCCGTGTTGACTGTGTCTGAGCTGACGACTGTTGCTGACTGTGATGACATAACCAGCAGTGGTGGGCGGACCTTCCATCCCTGCAGAGTCGTGGTGATATCCTCAGCGGCGCCCACACTCCTCCTCCCTGGCTGATGGTGTTGTTATAGTGAATGGATCACATGAAGATTAGACACCCCCAGCTTATTAAGAAGGTATGGATCACATGAAGATTAGACACCCCAGCTTATTTCACCAGCTTAAGCACCCTAACGCTACTTGAGTTAGGTTAAGTTAGATTAGGGTAACTTACACATTAGTGTATTCAATCATATGAAATAATCTGGGGTGCTTGATCTTCAGGTGAGCCTTAAGAATATTTTACTGCACTTCAATAATTAATGTCTTATAATCGCGTATATAAGATCAGTAAGTACATAAGTCATCAATAATTAATAAGACATAGTGTACTCCCCCTTGTGTGTATGTATGTATGTATGTATGTATGTATGTGTGTGTGTGTGTCAGGGTCGACTCATCCATTGACAGATCTCCAGAGTGTTTAACCTCTCACTGTACATAACTGATGATAACAACTAGATAAATGATTACTACCAAGTCAAGTTATATTTTTCACCCAAGTCCTGTTACCTTGTTGTGTGGGTGGGGTTAGGTTAGGTTAGTTTAAGTGAGGTGAGGTTTAATTAGAATAAACTGGATTAGTATTTTATGATGGTTTAAGATAAGTTCGGTTAGATTAAGATTAATATAAGTTAGGTTTAGTTATTTATGTTGGATAAAGTGATGTTATGGTAACTTAAGATTGGGTTAGGTTAGTTTGTTTTTATTAAAGTGAGTTAAATTATATTGTGTTTAACTAGATGAAGTTAGTTTAGGTTAATTTAGGTTAGGTTAAGTTAAGGTAGGTTAGGTTAAGTTAATACATTATCCCGCCACAGTTTCAGAACACTGTGGCAGAAGGTCAACACACTCACCCAGGGCCAACACCAGCCGTCACGCACACCCATAAAACCCAGACGCCATATCTAGTAGGTTACCCCCCCCCTACACAACCACACCACAGCTACCCCCCCATACACACACAGACACACCCCATTCAACATACACTCAACCACCACATACACAGCCACACCCTAACCACCATACACAAACAACCCATTAAGCCATTACTATACCTGTACCCACACACACAGACACAGCAAAGGTTGAAATAATACACAAAGAATAATTCACCTCAACAGTTTCTTTATTTCTCAACAATATTACAGCACACACATACACGCACAGACACACACACACACACACAGACACATATATACGTGAACACAGCCAACATATCGTGGAATGTGTAGTAGTAATGATGGTAGTAATAGAAGTAGTGGTAGTAGATGACCCCTATAACCTTGTTGGTCTCACGCTAACTACCACCACTACCACTATAATAAACATACTGTACAGATAAATGGATTCTTCTTCTATCGTTCAATAAACTTTAGGAAATAACACAGGCACTGATACACACTTGGGGGAATCAAATGACCTTTAACCTTAGAAAAATCAATAATTATTATTTTTTACTCCCGTTAGAATTATTATTACTTCTACAACTACTTTTTACTACTATAAGACTTTTAAGTGTGTTGTGACTACCGTTTTAAACAACTTAATACTTGTTTGTCTTGTTTAAGTAAGGGATATGTGTATTTCTTAAGTGGTTATGTTTGACTCAATGTAGGAATAAGTTTTGTCGTTTCTGGAGACCATAATATATTGTTAAGTAAATACACGACGCGGGAGAGATGGCAAATGATGATGATGATGATGATATGATGATGATGATATGATGACGATGATGATGATAATAACTAAACAACAGTAAAAATAAAATAATAAGAGTGACATAATATCAACTTCAAATATTTCTTTTTCACAGTACAGTCTCATCATTACAGTACAATCAGTCACTCATCATTACAGTACAGTCAGTCACTCATCATTACAGTACAATCAGTCACTCATCATTACAGTACAGTCAGTCACTCATCATTACAGTACAGTCACTCATCATTACAGTACAGTCACTCATCATTACAGAACAGTCACTCATCATTACAATAGTCACACAGGCAATTAAATCTTCCTCTCTGTCATAGTACATCTTAATCATACTTTAAAATTAATATCACTTATTCATTTTAATTTTACTAGCAATAATATATATCTATGTCAATTTTATATAATATTATAATACAACACACAAGGTAATATCAAGATCACCTGAAGATTCGGCTCCCTATCGCTAATTGAGGGTTAGGTTAGGTTATTTTACATGAAAATTAACGAACCTAACTTAACCTAATCATTGCAGGTAGTCTTAGGGTGGTTAATCTTCAGGTGAAATAAGCTTGGGTGAGTCTTCAGGTGATCTGTCTTGACGTCTAGTTTCAGGGTTCACACTGGTCTGGTAAAGGAATTTTTCTATAACTTTTTTCCCCACACTTTTTCATACCACAGGTCGACATTTTTCTGAGGGTCAAAACTTTCTTCTTCCACAGGTGAAAAGTTTCTTCCATTTCAAAACTTTCTTTCAAGATCTCAAACTGTCTTCCACATTTGAAAACTTTCTCTTAAAACTTTCTTACACAGAACAGAATTTTCTCCCATATGCTAAATATGCCAATATATTCCATAACTAAAACCATATTATCATTATCAAAACAAGAGTAATTAAAAGACACATTAAGTATATACTAAATCAATTACTGTACAATCACATAATTACTATAGATCTTACATAAGTTATACACATATTTACATGTACAAAAAATGTTCTTGTGTGAAAAAAAAAAAAAATTAAACTGTACAATAAATTTTTCACAGCTTAAATTATTGTATTTTTTATAAACTCATTACTATATATACACGGTTAGTAATAAGAAAATATTGTCGTTATTGTTGTAGTTTTCACGCCATAGTTGATTAGTATTTGATAGGTTGGTTGCAATCACCCACATAGGCAATTGCACCACCATGTTTTTCTTCTCAAATTTAATGTAGTTTGTTTTTAAATCTATCTGGTTACCTATAAAAATAATGTGTATCTTATATATGAAAAAAAGTGGTGGACTACCAACCAATTTAACACAGTGACTGATTAACTTTTATGCCTGATTTTGGTTACTAAATAAACCAAAATAGGAAAGGAATTTATTTGAATGTGAATTAAATGAGCGTTTTTTTCTTTCAATAACCTCAAGGACAAAAAAAAATGACTTCTGATACTTCAATTGAATTTCCCTAAACTGTTTTTCCCCAAATGTAAAACAAACCTCTACTTTCCGGGTGTTGGAAGAGGTAAAAGCTTCAATTACCATACCAGTACAGTATTCAAGACCTTAACAACACCCGTGTGAACCCTGCAGTAGGAGAACACATACTCAGGGGGTTAGTGTTACCTTCCTCTCATCCCTTATACACACTGCTGACAGACTAGGAACACACTGTACCATGGAACAACACAAAATAAACCACACACTTTGGCACAGGGAACTAAAACCCATTAACTCTCGGCTTTACAACACTTTACAGCGATCAGTCTCTTGAGTACAGTGTATCTCGAGGCTCATACTCGCCCTAAAGAAAAATTTACAGTAATTTTATTCTATATGGAATTATTATAAACATAAACAATGGGGAATGTTGCAGTTTCCAGCAACAAACACGCACGCACGTACACACAGATAACGTAAAGACATCCTCAGGAACCTCGGTGGAGTCAGGAGGATGATAGCTACTAGAGGCGGCAGGCAGGCAGGCAGGTAGGTAAGTCCTCTCTTGTATGGGTGTGAGTGTTGGTCGGCGTTCCCGGACACCTCCCATGAATAACTCAAGGAAGAGGGGAAGGGCGTGGGAGGTCGTGCAGGCGTCCCTCTACTCGCAGCAGGAGGAGGTCGTGCAGGCGTCCCTCTACTCGCAGCAGGAGGAGGTCGTGCAGGCGTCCCTCTACTCGCAGCAGGAGAAGGTCGTGCAGGCGTCCCTCTACTCGTAGCAGAAGGAGGTCGCGCAGGCGTCCCTCTACTCGTAGCAGAAGGGTATGGAGGTGAAAGGGAGGATGGGCGACTTGGACTCGATTTCGATGGCCGTCTGGAGACAGTTGCTCGACGTCTCCAGCTGTCCTAGACTCACCAGCACCTCACCCATTGTCTCCCTGCGAACACACAAACAAGAGTACAGGTTAACTGTCTGGTACAGGTAATGTAAAAGTATCTGCCACGGTGTCATGGGTTGCGTCAGGCCTACTCACGCAACACTACTCTGTCATCACTATTTCATTAGTGGGTATGTGAACCAGGCTATGGGGGGGGCGACTGAGACTGCGTTGCATTGTTCATCGTGTCTCACGCCCCAAAACCACATTTCAGCCATTAGGCCTAGACCATGGGTTAGTCAAGACCTCCTCCTCCTCGTCCTGTGAACTGTCAGTGACAAGAGACTGTGTGTGTCACCCCAATGTTTGTTATTCCCCGTGGAAAGAAGATCATGTGTGAAGGCCTGGTTGCAATAGGAGCGATCCAGGCTGGCCTAGTGAACCAAAGAGGTTATATTCCCCAGTAAAGTGAATGTGTCACTTGAGGAATTAAGGCTCTGTTAAGTCATATCCATAGTAGATTAATTAAATTTGTCCCCAGGTTGCAAATTCCCTCTTTACAAGATTAATTTTACTACAGCGTGAATGTGAGTGACTCATATCTATGCAAATTGTAAATCATTGTATGGAAGCTTGACAAATAAATGTAAATGAAATTATCTGCCCGTATCTGTGATCCTATCTTAATATTACTAAAGGTAATGACTGATTGGTTATGACAAAGTATAACCAATAACTTAGATGGATGTTGGAAATTAATAGAACTCATTAAAACATCATTTATCAAGTATAAATCATGGAATGTCGAGTGAACTTCTGCGTAGATACACCATAATCTGCTGTAAGTAACCAGTGTGAAGGTATCGAACTCTACGGTAAGAAATAAGAAACCCATATATCCATCCTTGCAGTAATCCGACACACATGGTAAGGGAGGGGTGTGTGTGGGTGTGTACGGGGAGTGGTCGTGTGGGTGTGTACGGGGAGTGGTCGTGTGGGTGGGTAGACGACACAGTGACCCACATAGATAAAATCCTCGTTAAGTTCACAGTGGTGGTCTGTATTACTGAGGAGGAGGAGGAGGAATGCTGGACACACACACACACAGGTGATTCGTTCATATGTGTTACAGTGAGTAGCCAACACAGTACTTGCTTTCACCACTACATCCTGTGTGTCTGTGTACTGTGTGTTTGGTGGGGTGGGGGGGAGGGGGGGCGACAGCTAGCTCAGGCCCTTTATGGTGATCAATATGTGCCTTAATTACACACTATGTGCCCGCCCTCATCATCTATATTACCCACACTGTGTTACCCCGTGTTATCTCTCTCTCTCTCTCTCTACGTCACCCTGCACCACCTCATCTCACCAACCACTTAAATATTCTCTACCATCACCATTCAAGGTTAGGTTAGGTTGAGTTACGTTAGGTTACGCCAATTTAGGTTGGGGCCCATTAAGACTGGGGCCTACTAGTACCAGGGTCCATCTGGTCAGACATCGCACGTAACAGGTGAGCTGGCTGTCGCCCCACTAACTGTCACATGACACACACACACACACACACACACACACACACACACACACACACGTACGTACGTTTACAAGTGAGCCACACATATCAACCGGACAAATGAAAATGTCATCAATGAAGTTAAGGGGCGGTTCTCTGCTGACGAAGGGAAGAGGAGGAGGAGGAAGGAAGAAGAAGAGGACAGGAGGAGGAAGAAGAAAATGAAGAGGACAGGAGGAGGAGGAGGAAGAAGAAAATGAAGAGGGGAAGCAGGAGGCACAACCCAATCACCAACACACCTGGTGACCTGAGAGGCGAATATCTGTAGGAGGCGACAACCCTTCATCTCTCCTCCCCTTAACTCCCTCTTCCCCCCCCTTCCTTCTCACCCATTCCTCTCTCTTCCCTCTCACCCATTCCTCCCACTTCCCCCCTCGCTCATTCCTCCCCCATTCCTCCCCCTCCCCCCTCCTTCCCTCTCCATGTACTCTGTGGTGGTGGTGATGGCACTCCAACACCAACCCCCCCCACTCCACCTTCACCTCCAAGATAAAACAATTGATAGTCTTCCCTCCCTCCCCCCTCTCTCTCTCCCTCCCTCCCTCACTCTCCCTCTCTGGCTCCTTCAACTCCTCCCTGAAGCGGCGGGAGAGAGTGGAGGTACTGAGGGGTGAGGGAGGGTGATAGGGAGGGAGAGGGAAGAGAGTGAGGGGATGGAAGATGGGAAGAATTAGAACAAGGGGGGAGAAGAAAAAAAGGAAGGGAGAGGGGGGAGGGTGGAGAAGAAGTGAGAGTGGGGTGAGAGGTTGGGGGGAAGAGAGTGGTACTTGTGACACGCTCGAGAACCACCACCAATCTTACCTTATTTATGTAAATCACTTTACACACACCCGACGGAGCTGACTCGAGCCGCCCCCCCTGCTGATGACTGGGGGTGTCAAGTGTCTTTCTCCTTCTCATCTACCACTGAGGGTTTTGTGAGAGAGAGAGAGAGAGAGAGAGAGAGAGAGATTCATTATTAAATGCACCAGTGATGACTCTCCCAAGCCATCACAGCGCGTGTCGTCTAGTTTACGATCTGCCTCTCCCTCTTGGCCGCAGTCCAGTGTGTGGGTCCTGCCAGGAGGTGCCTCTGCTCGTGCCAAGGGCAGAGGAGTCCTGGGTAGCTGGAATCCTCTAACAGGGAACCGGGCTACTTAGGGTGGGACGGGGGCCAGGGGGTGGGACGGAGGCCAGGGGGTGGTGCGTAGGGCCAGGTGGGACGGGGGCCAGGGGTGGGACCAGGGGGTGGGACGGGGGCCAGGGGTGGTGTGGGGGGGCACAGGGGTAGGACGGGGCCATGGGTGGACGGGCGCCAGGGCCAGGGGGTGGTACACCAGGGGTGGTGCGGGGCCATGGGGTGGTACAAGGGCCAGGGGTGCTAAGGCCTGGGGGTAGGACACGGGGCGGGGGTGGTACAAGGGGACAGGGGGTGTTACGTGGGGTGGACTAATTGTTTACAGAAGACTCGGTGATCTACAGGATGACGGTTGGTTGGCTGGCTACAGGAACCCATAAATGAATGTCAAACAGGAGAGATTGTTTATAGGAACTGACTGTAGTGACCACAACGGCCTGCTGTTTTAGATAGACGAAGACTGACAGTTTTTAGAAGCTGACAGTCTATAGATCACGACTGATTAACTCACTCCCAACAAGGAAAAGACAATGAAAAGCGACTGACTGATTACAAGGGACACCATCACTGACAGTGTCTCAGGATGGAGAGACCCGGACGAGAACCAGAGAGGCAGGATTAAAAAGATGTTTACAGGGCTTTCGGGCAAGATTATTTCCCGCGAAAACGACCCGGCGCGCTGATTGGCTGACAGAGCCGATCAATTGGTGCCAAAATGCATCCTCGTTGGTGACTGGCTGAGAGACAGAGCATCTGGCGCGCGTTTGATGAGTGAGGTAATGCTGACATTATTCGTGAGTGGCGGTCCAAGGAGCCAATGAGGAGGGTAATTGGCAGTTGTAATGACCAATGAAATGGTTGACAGCTCGTTCACTGATGCTGGCGAGGCTAGTTTTGTCCCCTCGTAAAGCATTACTTGAGGGCGGGGTCCTCAGTTACGCTGCTGGTGTTAATATCCCGGAGTGAGATGGTGATACACTGGACTGAGACATGTTGTGACTCCAGGCCTAACAGACCTCTAATTCAACCTAACCACTAAACTGTCCTAAGGGGCCCAAGACGAGCGAGGAATCAGGAGCGAGCGACAAGTTAACTCGTGACACTCAGCGTCAGGGATGATGTAAATTGTTCTCTATCAGAGAGCGGGTGACAGTCAATAGTTCTCTGTCAGTGAGTGTAATGGTCAGTATACTTGCTTCACAAGCGAGTAGATCCGGGTTCGATCCCCGGGCAAGTTTCTTTACGCCATTTGCCACTGTCTACCTAGCATTAATTGGGGACCTGGATGATAATCGATTTGCGGAATGTGCTCGGGGTAATGGTTAGCCAGTGCAGTTGACGAGTTGTCCGGTCTTCTTGGATTAGTCGTTGGTACTGGGTGTGGTTGTTGTGTTGGCCGTAGCTTCTACACCTTAAGCAAATGAACATCTAGGTGGCCCTAGTGCCGGCCATCCTCGAACAAGAGGAGCAACCATTACTATATATGTGTGTGTGTGTGTGTGTGTGTATGTGTGTGTGAAGACGTCCACGGTGTGTCTGCGGGCCAAATAATCGGTGCCATACTAACCCACACATCACTGTCAGCCGGTAAGGTTGTGGCAGGTCAGTGGTGGTGGTGGGGGGGGGGCTGAAGTGTCACTTGCATTGTTCCGAACCTCAAAACTTTTCACCTCTTCCTCCACCACACCCAGATAAGAGGAGGGTCCAGGAGAAGAGGGTACTGGAGGAAGAGGAGGAGAAGGGCGGGTAGCAGCAGGGGCGGGGCAGCGGATGGGAGGCAGGAAAGTGAAGATAAAGGCAGCTGGCCCACCTCCAGGCAATCAAGGCGGGTCGTCCGTCTCTCCTGCCGGCGGCCACAGCCAAGGTCACCTGACAGAGGGAGGGTCACGGGGCCGGCTCATCTTACCCTCCCACAAGTGACCTGGGGTTGGGGGGTGGCGAGCGACGTATGTGCTCTTTACACACTGATATATACACACACACACACACATACACTGATATATACACACACATACACTCACCCTGACGTCTAAGATATACATAGGCTCATCCCAGGATCCAATACACACACACACACACATACACACACACATTCACTAGTGATGTATCGAATTATCAGGCCGACTATCGGATAAAATACATCTAGATAATATAATATATGATGACCTCTGTATACATATAGGGTCAATCACCTGTAATATCTCAAGTAACTTACACGGTCATTAACCTCTCCTTACCTGTATTACTGTCCACGACCAACTGACCTGACCTAACCTAACCTAACCTTTCCTTACCGGTATTACTGTCCACGACCAACTGACCTGACCTGACCTGACCTGACCTGACCTGAACTAACCTTGTTTGGTATAT